TCAGCGCCAAACAAGCAATATTCAGAGCTCACAGAGCGTCATGTGTTTCCGTCAAATTATCCTTGGATTCTGTTCATACTTCAGAGAGAAAGCCTCAAACAATGCCCCCATCAAAACCGATACCTATACTTTCCCCTTTTTTATTTAAGGAAAAAAAAAGTCGATTCGTTGCCGCCTTGGAGAGACTAATACATAAGTTAAGCGGTTAAGCATTGATGATGCCCCATTGCCCCGTGAGAGCATGTATCATGGTCTCATGGAGGCATGGAGGCATTGGGCTAGGCTGCTACCTAGTACCTAAGTACCTACCATAGGATACGAATACGAGAGAACAAGATAGACCGAAACTTACACCTGCTGTGCGTGGATAACCCTGTTTGTGCGGATTGGGTTGCAGCTGGCGACGGGCGAATCTGCGATGCACCCCCTGCAGCGGGAGACGAGATCCGTTCCTTGCACACAGCAAAAGCAACGGACCCCAGCTCCAGCCTACAACTCTCCAATCGGCAGCAAGGAATGGCACCTAGCGTCCTTGCAATGCAAACCAAAACGCAAGAAACGTCGTCTCTGCCTTGCTTTGCCGCCGACGATCTTACCTTTCAACCGAAGAAACGGCCCCAATGCTGCTAGTAGCCTCGTGTTCGTATCCTTTCTTTCGAGCACGGCAGCACACGCATATATACGCGCCGCGCTGATGCCTTCACGCACCGCAAGAACCAGAGCGCAACAGCGGCACCGGCACCGGCACGCGCGCGCGCACGGTTGAGACTCTGTCCCAGCAACTTGCCCTCCGGCCGGTCCGCGAGCATGGCGTCCGCCGCCCACCGGTCCATGGCGTCCGCCCTCCTGTTTCTCAACCTCATCATGTACGTCATCATCGCGGTCATCGCCGGCTGGGCCATCAACTACAGCATCGACGAGAGCAGGAACTCGCGTAAGTGACAGTGTATTTGATTTTTGACGTCGCCGCAGGAAATGTTCATGGCAAATGTAACAATAGTAGTGACGACTGCGTGTGTGTGTGTGTGTTCGTGCAGTGAAGGGCGTGACGCCGCCGGTGCGCCTGTTCCCGATCTACTTCCCGATCGGCAACCTGGCGACGGGGTTCTTCGTCATCTTCGCGCTCATCACGGGCGTCGTCGGCATCGCCACCTCGCTCACCGGCCTGCACGACGTCAGCCAGGGGTACCCCGCCAGCATGATGTCCGCCGCGGCGTCCTCCCTCGTCACCTGGACGCTCACCGTCCTCGCCATGGGGCTTGCGTGCAAGGAGATCAGCCTCAGCGCCAGGCCCGGGAGCCTGGTAACGACTACTACCAATTGCGGGTCCATTGCATTGCATTTCTTTTTCCTGCCTGCGTGTCTCTTATATACGTGTGTTTCTGTCCGTCGGTCTCCGTCGCACGTGCAGCGCACCTTGGAGGCGTTCACCATCATCCTGACCGCGACGCAGCTGCTCTGCGCCGGGTCGCTCCACGCCGGCGCGCACGCGGTCATCCTCGAGACGCCTATCGGCGGAGTTTAACTGAGGCGCGCGATGACGACCAACTTGGATTGGAAACAGCATGTGTCATCTTGGCAGTGATTGGTGTGTGTGCGTGCGATCGATGCTATGGCTTCACACGTGCCTTGTGTGTGCTCTCTGGGTACCTAAAGTGCGTGTGTTTATTCCTTATCATTCGTTTGTAAAAAAGCTGCATGGCGTGGTCTCATATAAGTGGTGAACTATCGGCGATTCTTTCCAGACTAGTGTGAGTAAAATTGTTGCACTTTGCACCTTCCCAATATAGTAGTAGTATGTACACTGGATTTCTACCAAAGAAATCTCTGTAACCTGGTTTCATTTCCGGAATGGATTTCGGACATGGTTAATTTAGCCATCCGACGTCTCATGTTCAGTCGTCATCTGGTAGTGTGTGGAATTTGGTGAATGAGTTGCACAATAGAGGAAGACGGGCGTGCGTCATGGCATACTCTATCTAGAGGAGTAAATAAATGAGTAACCCATCCATCCAAAGTACTTCTACCGCTTGACTTATCAGTCGTACTTTTTCAGCGAAGTAACAGTGTCTTGCTCTCACAGCAAATCAACGAACAGTACTTTTCAGTCTGGCTTTTTAGCAAAGCAAACAGGGCCCTAAATACGGGCATACGGGCTTGAGCCAAGCCGAGAAATTAGGTCCAGATAATTTTGGGCCAATATCAGCTGCACAGGCTCAGCTCTACATAATCCCAAGGGCTGCTTAAATGTCATCCTACAAACTTCAGGAAATAGTCATTTGGATCCCTCAACTTTCGTGATTGTCCAATTTTCCCACTCAAAAACAGTTTTTTTTCCTCTCCAACTTTGAAAACCATTGCTTTTGCACCTTGCCTGGTTTCAATGACGATTTTCGCATATGTGGCGCCACGTCAGCTTGTCCCAGGTGGATAAGTTGCTGAGTTAGCACTAGGATAAAAAAGGATGAAGTCCAATTTACAACCTTGAACTCTCGCCAAAGTCCAGATTTCAACCTCGAACTTCAAAATTGGATAACTTTGGCCCTCCGACTATTGAAACCGTTCAACTTTCAACCTTCTGGACGGTTTTGGCGTATGAACAGTAACTTTTGATATTTTTGGGAAGCGCCGAAATTTTATATTATTTTTTTGAGCATCTTAACATCCTCAAATGAAAAAAACTCAAAACTACAAAGTTGTAGATCTCATTGAGAGCTACAACTTTGGTATAAAAAGTATTTTCATTTAACTCCATACAAATAATATATTAGTGTTCTAGTACGACAAGTGCTAGTAGACGATTATTATGGTGCTGAAATTTTATATTATTTTTTCGAGCATCTTACTGTCCTCAAATGAAAAAAAATCAAAACTATAAAGTTGTAGATCTCATCGAGGTCTACAATTTATATATAAAAATTATCTTCATCCGACATCGTATTGAAGGGTTTTCTATTTTTTAAAATTTGAGTCTCGTCACGCGACAAAACAATACTGTGGCGTGATGAGACTCAAATTTTAAAAAATAGAAAACCCTTAAATACGATGTCGGATGAAGATAATTTTTATATGTAAATTATAGACCTCGATGAGATTTACAACTTTATAGTTTTAATTTTTTTTTCATTTGAGGAAAGTAAGATGCTCGAAAAAATAATATAAAATTTCAGCACCATAATAATCGCCTACTAGCGCTTGCCGCATTATAATACTAATATATTATTTGTATGGAGTTAAATGAAAATATTTTTTATACCAAAGTTGTAGCTCTTAATGAGATCTACAACTTTGTAGTTTTGAGTTTTTTCATTTGAGGACGTTAAGATGCTCAAAAAAATAATATAAAATTTTGGCGCCTCCTAAAAATATCAAAAGTTACTGTTCATACGCCAAAACCGCCCAAAAGGTTGAAAGTTGAACGGTTCCAAAGAGTTGGAGGGCCAAAGTTATCCGGTTTTGAAGTTCGAGGTTGAAATCCGGACTTTGGCGAGAGTTCAAGGTTGTAAATTGGACTTTACTCGATAAAAAATGACCCCACCCATAACCCTAACTCCATCTCCCCCATTTCCTGTCGCCATTGTCCTCTCTCTTCTCTCTTCGGCCGCGACAAGTTGAGCGTCCATGTGGACTTATGACCGCCCTTCCAGTAGTGCGGCTTAGAGTACAACGGCGGTGGAGCTTGACATTGGGGTACTTGGATCACCCTAAATCCTTTTGATTTAGTTTGGATTGATGGTCTTGGGTCCAATATGGTACCTTTAGGATTAAGAAATGAGTAGTTGCAGTTTATTAACGGTTGGTTAGATTTCTTTTATTTGCAGTGTGCATTGTTCAATTGGACATTATTGGTAAGATTAGCGTGTAGGGATATTAAAATGGCTTAGATCTGCATTGCTTATGTATTAGGATTAGCTAAGCAATGTTCCAGGTTGGCATGGATGTACCGTTTTAGGACTTAAATTACTCTCTCTCTCTCCTTGAATAAATAGATTCTTAGAGTTGTCTTAAGTTAAATTTTTACACCTTGACCGAATTTCTAGAAAAATCTGTCAATATTTATGACATTATTAGTATCATTAGATATACCATAGAATATAGTTTCATAATGTTCTTATTTTCATAGATGTTGTTACTTTTTCTATAAAGTTAGTAAAACTTAAGATAGTTTGATTTATACGGATTCTAGGAATTGATTTATTTAGAGAGAGGGAGTAGTTGTTTATTACGTTTTGTAGTGTTAGTGATGGATGTGTGTTGAGCATGCTGGTTGTACGTTATTTGGTTCTTTTTTAACGGAGAGTTGATGGGGAAAACAAGCATTATGTCGGTGGGAGTAACTATCATATATATAGTGTGATAAGGTATCACTACCAAAGGTTATTGGTCGTTTAAAGGATCACTGCACTTTTTTCTAGAAAAGATCTGAAGAATAATAGAGTATATGTTTTCGTTGATGACAAAGCATGCCTAGAGATGTCTAATGCCATTGTTGCCGGAAAATTTAAACACCTGCGGCCATAAATTAAAGCCATTTTCATGTACCTTGAGTCACGTTAGTAGATACTGCAATGAAAAGATATGTGATCCTGCACACAATATAGCGTGCAAGCTATTAAAAAATACGGTACAATTTGGACAGAGCATGTGAATTAAGATACCATTTTTTTATTTTTATATGCTAAGCTGATGAGGGCCGAGAGTATTAATTCAGGTGTGATAGTTCGCACAAATAAGACAAGTACGGTCACGATTTCAATTGGTACTTGACGTGAGAAATTACACTACTGTTCATCACTCTCGCTCTCAACTCACATCATCGCTGCGTGAAAGAAAAACTCACATGCACATCATCTAAGCTACGTACTCCCTTTTATCGCACTACACATCTTTGTCGACTTAATGAAACAGCTCCAAGCATATCATCGAGTGATCTATAAATACCAGCTCCCTTCCCTCCCATATTTTCTCATCAAAGCATCACATCCAACACATAACGTACCATGGCGCCCAAGCTCCCCGCCGTTCTCCTCGCTGCCTGCGCCGTCATCCTAGCGCTCGCCACGCCGCTGCTCGCCGGCGACCCCGACACGCTCCAGGACATCTGCGTCGCCGACTACAAATCGCTCGAAGGCCGTGAGTGCATCGGCCATTTCACTTTGTTCATCCTACATTCCTACATGTGCATTGGCGTTGCATTACTGATTGGAACGAACGTGTTTGTAATAATTGCCCATTCAGCGCTGCGGTTGAACGGGTTCCCTTGCAAGCGCAAGGCGAATGTGACGGCGGACGACTTCTTCTTCGGCGGGCTGGGCAAGGCCGCCGACGTGTACTCGGACAACCCGATGGGGTCTGCGGTGACGGCGGCGGACGTGGCGGTGTTCCCGGGGCTCAACACCCTGGGCGTGTCCATGGCGCGCACGGACTTCGCGCCGTCGGGCGGCGTCAGCCCACCGCACGTGCACCCGCGCGCCACGGAGATCCTCTTCGTCGTGGAGGGCACCCTCGAGGTGGGCTTCGTCACCGCGGCGGCGAACCGGCTCTTCAGCCGCACCGTCGGCAAGGGAGAGGTGTTCGTGTTCCCCCGCGGCCTCGTGCACTTCCAGCGGAGCGTCGGGGACGCGCCCGCCGTGGCGATCTCGGCGTTCAACAGCCAGCTGCCTGGCACGCAGACGGTCGCCGGGGCGCTGTTCGGCGCTGCGCCGACGGTGCCGACGGACGTGCTGGCGCGGGCGTTACAGATCGACGGTGGAGTGATCGAGAACATCAAGTCCAAGTTTGCGCCCAAGTAGGGCATACACATTACACATGTCTCGAATTGCAAATGCGCAAGTGATCGAAAAGAGTGTACGCCTAAAGTGATCAAGCTATTTCAGCGAGATTAATGTGGTGCTTTAGGGCCGGTTGGAACGCAGGAATGCAAAACGCAGGAATAGGAAAAAACGCAGGAATAAGGTATGATGAAAAGTAAAAAACTACGGGATTTCAAAACATAGAAACAAAAAATTTATGCTGTTTGAAACGCATGAATTCGTAACATAGGAATCACACGTGCGACCTCTCAGCCTTCCGCGAAGGAAAAGAAAACCTTGGATGCAAGTGGAGTTTTTGATTCCTGTGAAATCGCTAGCAAGCTACAGCATTCCATAGAAAAGAGATTGCGTGAATCCTCCGTTCCAAACACTCACTCCTACTTCCTTTCCTCTGTTTTCCGGTTCCTACGAATTTTCTTTGAAAATCCTCGGATCCAAACGACCCCTTATTTGGTAATTTGATACTTCAATCCGCACACATGTCTGCTTTACTTTTTTTTTATTTATCATCATGTCTGCTTTACTTGGTACTCTACTTTGGCTACTGCGTGCTCTAGTGCGTACCATGTACTCAGTGCGTGCTCTGGTAGGAGTACCAACTACCAAGTAAAGCAGACGGTGGAGTACTCCTGTACTGTAGTAAAAATCCTTTTATTGCAAACCCTGATGGAATACTGTACTGTAGTAAAATCCTTTTTATTGCAAACCCTGATGGAAAATTACCACTACTGATTAGTACTACTGAGGTACTTCCAGAACCAAGTCAGATTGCCTCGTGGCGAGGTTCAGGCCGCCGGCGCCACGCACGTCCCATCCGATGGCTGCCGCCGTCCACCTCCGCCCTCTCCACTCGTTCGCGCTCCCTCTCCCCGCAGCGAAGGCCGCGCCCAGCTGGCTCCCTCTCCCGGCGAAACCCGGTGCGCGGAGGAGGGGCAGCCGCGTCGCCCTGCTCGTCTGCTCCGCGTCTCCCTCGCCCTCGGGCGGGGACGGCGCCGCGGCGTCGGCAGCGACAAAGTGGGTGGAGTGGATCCCGCGCGCCGCGGCAAGCGCCGGGTCGGCGGCGGGCCCCGAGCAGGTGCTCAGGCTCATCTCCGGCGCCGCGGCCACGCCCATCTGCCAGTTCGTCGACAGCCCGCGCACCTTCCTCCATTCCGTCGACCCGCGCGTCAAGCTGGTACGTAGCGTCCCCGCTTTCCCTCCAACAGGCGTATTGGATAGACTTACTATCCGGTAGGGGTGGGTGGGGAGGGTGCATGGGTGGTGTTTGTGGGAATGTCACCGCGAAAATGAGTCTCACGTTTAAACAATCAAATAATCTATCTTCTTAACCCGTCTCGATAAATAGAGAGAATGCAAATGTGTCAATCTATCTGTCAGCCCCGCGTTGTTGTACTAAAGCTACCGTGATTGGGCGACTGGGATGCAAATCAGTGAATGAATTGGAGAGGGAGGGAGTCAAGCAGGCAAACATTCCCAGCTCACTTGTTTTTCCCCCCTTCTGAGCAACTGTGCAAACGTGCATTTTCTCTAGCTGACCATGAGTCTTATAACCATCTATGCTGCTTTGCTATTTTCATGAAAACAGCTTGTGTCTAATTAATGTGTGATTATTAATTGATTTCCTACCTTTGAGTACCAATGCTGGCAGGATCTAATCATATTTGTTCTGTTAAATTAGTTGCGTCCTTCTAATATATCTCTTGTGATTAACTGACATGAATTCAAACGACACTCCAAAAATAACACAAGCAAACGTTATTTCTCCAGCTGTTGTGATTTCAGAAACTTTTAAGCTAACAAAAACATTCCACGGAAATAATATTGGGAGATGTACGAGACTTGGAAGAGGTTGTGCTTTTTATAATGCTTTAGTATTTCGAGAATAGCAAAAAAAAATGTAACATCTTAGCCAGCAATAGTTCCTTACTGAAAATTATAAATGTTTTGAGAAAAATTCACATTGTTATGTTAATGAATTTTCTAGCCAAAAGCCACTGCAAGCAGGGTTGGACCCACGGGATATGCCAGGACATTCCCTGTGGCAGCTCAGCACTCACTCATTATAGTATAAATGAACAAATTTGCAGCTACACTCAAAAGTGGGTTGGTAACCCAGTGGTATGATGCACCTTGGTCCCTTAGCTAGGATGAGGTGCTAGTTCAATTCCTTGCGAGTTGCATTTTAGTTTTTATTTTTCTATTGTTATCCCCTTAGTTTTTATTTTCCTATTTTATTATCCCATCCAGAAATTAACTGTAGATAGTATACTTCATCCCAACTAACAACAACATGGTACTAGATCAGTTTTTTTTCTCGTACACGCAGGAGAGCTGCGTATCTTTGTATTAAGAGAGAAATACTAGATCAGTTTTTATTTTTCCTATTTTGTTTATCACTTTAGTTTTATTTTCCTATTTTTTATCCCCTCTAGAAATTAATTATAGATAATATACTGATCCTAGCAAAATCTCTGATATGCTCAAGTGGCCAACACCAACTACAATGACTTGGCTAAACCACTGAATTAACAGCATTCCAACAAAACATGGTACTAGCTCAATGGGGCGTGACGTGTGTGCTGAATTATGTTGTAAGTGTAGGCTAGACGAGTAGTATTGTAAGTTTTTTTTATGCAATATTTTTTTCTCAAACACACAGGAGAGCTACGTATCATTATAATAAGAAGAAAAAAGGGGAAATAACTCTATTAGAATAGTGTTTGAATTATTTGTAATATTTTGAACTATTAGAATAGCGTTTGAATTATTTGTATTGTAATCTATGCACATTTCGAACTGAATTGTTGAATTTGGAAGGGCATGGGAAAACTTTGTCAAGCAGTGTAACATCTGCACAAATTCAACAATTATTTACCATAGTGCTAAATGGATTTTTCCAAATTGCATGTAAAAATTTTGGTGCAGCCATATAGCTCAAACATTCTTGGACAAAATTATAGTCTGCCACTGCTGCAAGTATTCTTTCTTTACTTTCTGTTTTTCAGATGGGCAGTCCTTGCCATTCTTTACCCCCATCAACATGTAGTCAGCAGAGGTTTGCCCTAGCTCAAAGCCCCCTAATCTGGGTGCCATACCAATCGATAGAACCATCCATTATGCTTGTGAAGTCACGAGTCCTTGTATTTACTTGATCGAATTGTGTTTTGCACAGTTGTCAGAATCGAGACTCTAAATCAGATCAAAGGCCTAAGATCAGAATAATAGGATCGCAAACATAAATCATAGATTCCTTTGACTAGAATTATAGAATCAGACCCCTTAATCAAGATTGTGAAGTCAGTAATATCATATATTCATATGACAGCATCGCAATTTTTTTAAATTAGGGTGTTTTGGCTATTGCTACCGATATAGAATAAAACGCTTGAATATCCAAACACAATAGTTTTATTTCAACTGTAAATCAAGGCTTTTAAGTTCATTACTCTATAACGAGTACAATTGTGAATGCTTCAAGGACATGTGTCTCATCATATCTCATATCCCTTGTAAAATCGGTTTATTAGGCCACTAGATAAAGCACCTCTGTAAGCTATACCTCAGATAACCTGAAAAATCTTGGAAAAAGTCAGATTTACTTCCCACACAGGGAAGTTGTCCGGATAGTTCCTTACTGAAAACTAATAAATGTTTTGAGAAAAATTCACATTGTGTTCAGTTTACCTCTCCAAATGTTTTAGATGATCCAATCTACCCCTAATAAGATTTGTCATTTTGTTTCACCTTGGTCCCATATACATAAGTTAATTTTTAAGTTCAAATTTGTAGGTTGGTAGAGAACATCACAACTTATGTTAGAAAAAGACATTATGAATTTTTCATATTTATTTTTGATAGCTTAAGCATTTTATAGTAAATTAACCATACAGATTCAGAATTGTACTTAGCCCCAATTAACAAAAAATAATGATGAAAAATTCATAATGTATCTGTCTAACATAAGTTATGATATTCGCTATGACCTTACAAAATTTGAACTTATAACTAAACTTCTATGTGGAGAAATTGTTGAAAAAGAAAAATCTTATTAAGTGGTAAAGATTCCAAATTGCATGTAAAAATCAAATGCCATTCTTTAAAAGCTCTTCCCTAACCCGAGAGAACCATCCATTATGCTTGTGAAGTCACGTAGTCCTTGTATATACTTGATCGAATTGTGTTTTGCACAGTTGTCAATTGAACTAAACAAAATCAGATTTAGGGTTATCTTGTGACAAATTTCCTATCTTGGGGGAGTAATTTATGACATTTTTCCATGAATCTATTAGGTGTTTTTTTCCTCGTATCCTGATGGGTTGAATCTTCTATAACGAGTACAATTGTGAATGCTTCAAGGTTGGTCTCATCATTGGCTATCTCTGATATGGCCACATCATGCTACCAACTTACCAGGGAAGTACCAGTTTTCAGTTTTTCAGCCCCTTTTCTGTATTAACATAAATTTGACCAAAGTTCAAAGATGAACTGAATAACCTTGTATTTTTGTTGACCTGTTGCAATTAAACAATTCATATACTTCTTTCTGTAGGTGTGGCTACAAAATTTTGGCCCTTGTTGTCCTACCAGCCAGATCAAATATTTATATGCGGTTTGGTTTGGTAGTATTCCTGGCCCTTCTTTCAATGTGGATTTTACCAAATCATGTTTGGAAGGTATGATTTTATGTTCTATCAAAAATAATTGTTATGATGCTGATACATGGTGCATCGATCATAATTTTACATATGTAGTTGCAGCTTATGGTGTTTGGTAGTTTCATACGATGTGCTAGTACCTTGAGTCTGATGCAGCAAAGCTGTAATGTCTGGCTTTAACTTCACCCTTGGCTGCCCATTCGTTCTAATGTAGCTGTTAATTTTCCTTCTAGGATTCAGCTAATGTTATTTACCACTTTGCTCCACGGTTTCTGTTCCCTCGTATATTCAAACTTTTCTTGTGGGATGTGCTTGTTTGTACCTGTAAACAAAATCACGTTTACTCTGTAGGATCAACTTGGAAGGGTTGCTCTCCTTTCAGGATTCTTATTCATCATGCTGGGATTTGGTGCTGATGGTGCGCCTTCATTAGTCCAGATGAGAACGCCTCCACCATCTGTTCTAGGCATACCGAACATTCCTTGCTCCACAAGTGGGTATTCTTACACAATCTTCAAACTGGGACCACTGCAATTTACAAGGAAAGGCCTATCAGTAGCAAGTACTTCAGCAAGCCTCTCCTTTGCGGTATGTCCTTCACTTAACTTACAAGTATTTTAGGCAAACACTCTTTGGCTTAATCCTTCATTATCTTACACTTTTTTTATGCCTTCTGTTTACATCCAACAAACCACACCTGATGGAGAGCACGCTGTTTGTCATTCCTTTAGGATATTAAGAGTGACTTGGTTTGCATCTGAAACTATATGATATGCATTCCCAAATTTGTTGTTTGTATGCAGATATTCCAAAGTGCAAGTCTCTGCTTGACAACAACCACTCCTGAGCAGCTTGCCTCTGCTTTGTGGTGGTTTATGATTCCACTGAAGCATATTGGTGTGCCAGTACCTGAGATAATACTTACACTACTACTCTCATTGAGGTTCATCAATTTAGTATTTGATGAGGCAAGTATTTATGGTAACCACCAAAGTACCTTTTCTTTCTGTCTAGAAATATGCTCTGCTATTTGAGATCTAACTTTGGAGTATGATATTGTTCACATATCCAACTAGGTTCGCAACTCAGCTCTAGCGATTGTAGCACGCCGGATAAATTGGAAAAAGCTGACAGCTATGGAAACTATAGATAGTAAGTAACTTCTACATACTGGAAAAATACTTCCTGCGTTTGTAACCAATAGCTTTAACCGAACTGGTTAACAAACACTGCCAGAACCCAAACAGTCCAGACCTGCTAGCTGCTTGTGAGGAGCAGGAATCAAAAACTAATTTCTCATTGGTTAAACATGCTGTTCATTCTTATCACCTAAACTGTCCAAAGTCACCCTTGGACAGTGTAATTTAGCAGGGGTAGACTTGCAGTATATGATTTCTTAAGCAATGAGTGAGGCATTTGTGTTCCAGTCTTTCAGCATTGATAATTTTGTCCAAGTAATCTATTCTGGTGATAAGACTGGGGGAATAATGAGATGTCATGCATTGCTAAAATTAAAAGCAATTTAGGCCATCTCAAAATACATACGTAGTTTTTGAAAACTAAGTTAATAGTGGCCAAAACTGTATTTTTATAACTTTAAAAGTGACTCCTGAAAAGCATATACATCTTAGTTGAGTATGCCTAATTTCAGCAGTACCTTTTATGTTGCAATTCTTCTAGTTCTGTTGCACTCATCCTATATTCCCATGCGTGAGATCTTATATGATTAGGAGTCTAGGACTACCATAGTACCATTAATTGCTTTTACATGATAGCTGTATGGAAACATTAACTGAAATATTTTATGTGCAACTGTAGTTTTCTTCAACTATGTCCGGCGGATATTCAAAAATATATTTGATCACGCAGAGCAAATATCCAAGGTTAGTTTTTTCTTTCCTTTTCTCCTTTTGTTGTCACTGACTTGAGTTACAATAAATGCATTGTGCAATTCCTAAAAAAGGTAATTTGCTGAACATGGCCCATGGCTTTGAGTTAGGTATGTATTTTGAGTTGCTGTGCAATAGAAATGACTTTGGAACCAAAACTCCTTGTCCTATACTTCATAAGTGATAGTAGGATGATACTGTTTTAAAAAATTGCACTAGAACCATGGAACAGCAAGGAATTGCCTTAATTATACAGGTTTGTTAACCCTTGCTGATGTTCCTGATAAAAAGGGCGTACCCAGTGCAGAGAGCTCCCGCTCTGTGTGGGGTCTGGGGAACCAGTGCAGAGAGCTCCCGCTCTGTGTGGGGTCTGGGGAAGGCTGATGTTCCTGATGCATCCATAAATCATGCCTGCATTTCGTAGCATTCAGCTACGTGACTGTTTGGTCCATCTCAAAGTAGAACCAAATATTTACATGAAGCATGCGCTAGTTATTTTCTCTAAGTTTAACTGGACACTGGCCAAGCTAGTCAGGGATCAGGGATCACACTGACTGTATTACGCTGTTGGGACATGTCAAGACTTGTGTCTAGACCACATACCATCTCACCTTATTGACCTGAAGTCAGCACATTGTGGTACAGGAGACAACACAAAAAGGATATGGAGTCTTAATGAAAAGAAAAGTGCTCTTCCAATGATATCGGGAGCTCACAGAAAGTGTGAAACTTCATTATATTGCTCTGATGCTTAGCATTTTTACTTTTTGAGGCACTTGACTTTGTTCAGAGCATATATTAAAACTACAGCTGTGCAAAAAATTTTGCACATTTCATTGCTCCAGATATTTACTTTTGAATTATGTCTTATTATGCTCTTATTTGTCCAGGCAATGGTAGCTCGAGGATTTCGTGGCAATCCAAGCAATCACAAGATCTACTTTCTTTCAGAATCATCATTTGGAATTGCGGATCTCCTTTCATTGCTTTGCCTATTTGCTGTAGTGAACTTGGCTTCCTTTTCTGACCAGTTGGTTTGATGGTAACAAAAAGGTATTCATGGATATCCACGTGTTTGATTTTTGTTTTGGTGGTAACAAGAATGCTGTGGAAATGAGCTAGAGTTCAAAATGTATATGTCATATGATCCTCCATTGGAAACTGGTGCAAAGGATCACACTAACATGGCATTCCAAGCAGGTAAGTTTAGTTAATGTGCTTTTATTTAAAGATGAGATGTCCATGTCTATTGTTTCTGAACGAGTTTTTTATTTTCCATCATTTGTAGGCAGCATGGCTTGGATTCTTTGCAAGGCAGATAATCACGGAAAGCTAACTGCACACGTGGAACTGTTAGATGATGTTTGTTGAGTTGATCCTAGTTAGGAAAAATGTGAGCGAATATTGTTGAAAGGAAATTGCCTAGGCAATGTGGAAAGGGAATTGCCTCGACAGTGTGTCCCCAAGCTTTGTTGTACCCTATCCGTTACAATTACCCGTTCCAAATTGTAAGTAGTATTAGGTTTATCACAGGTCAAACTTCTCTAGCTTTCAACAACAACAACATAGTCCCAAGCAAGTTGGGGTAGGCTAGAGTTGAAACCCACCAAGAGCTCTAAGTCATAGTTCATGCATTTCAATAGCTGTTTTTCAAGTACTCCTATTTAAATATAGATCTTTAGGTATATTCTAAACTTTTAAATCTCTTTTATTGCCTCCTTTATGTCAATTTTAGTCTTTCTCTACCTTTCCTCATATTATTAACTTGACTTACAACTCCACAATACACTGGTGTCTCTAAAGGTCTCCTTTGGATATGGTCAAATCACCTCAACCGATGTTGATAAGCTTTTCTTCAATTGGTGCTACCTCTAGGCGATCACGTATATCATTGTTTCAAACTCGGTCCATTCTTGTGTGATCGTAAATTTATCGTAACATACGTATTTCTGCAACACTTAGTTGTTGAACATGTCGAATCTTTGTAGACCAACATTCTGCTCCATATAACATAGCTGGTCTAATCGTCGTTCTATAGAACTTGTCTTTTAGCTTTTGTGGTATTCTCTTGTCACAGAGAATGTCATAAGCTTATCGTCACTTGATCCACCCTGCTTTGATTCTATGGCTAACGTCCGCATCAATATCTCCATCCTCCGTAGCATTGATCCCAGATACCGAAAGGTATCATTTTTAGGCACTACTTGACCTTCCAAATTCACATCTCCCTCCTCGTGTATAACTCTCGTTAAAGTCGCATCTCATGTATTCGGATTTAGTTCTGCTCAAACTTCTCTAGCTTTGACCAAATTAATAGGAAATTGTACAAACATCTACAACATCAATTTGGATTCATTGTATGCATCATGAAATAATATTTTAACGATGTATACGTATATATGATATTTTAGATGTTAATATATTTTCCTATAAACTTGATGAAAGCTAAAATCTTTTGAGTTAGGATAGCTACCACTTACAATTTAGAATAGAAATATTAATTAGGAATGTGCGAAAACATAGAAATAAAATCCACTTACATAACATAGTCAATTTTACTCCAGTTTCGAGCGCATGAGTTATTCTATCAATTATTTGTATTTGACCAATGTTCAATGCTATGGTAAAATATTGGGAGGTACAAATGACTCGGAAAAGTGATGTTCATGATAACTGTGAATTTAAATCATTAGAACAATCATAAATGTTTCAATAGTGACAGTAGTTTAGAGCAACTTTAGGGCTTGTTTGTATGCCCATGTATCCCTCAATCTATGTGTGCTTGAGTGGTTTGTGTGAAATTTAGTTTAAATTCTACACCAAACCACAACAACACATATGGATTGAGGGGATACATGACATTTATCCATCCGACTTTTGCGGTTGAGAGTATGCATGTGGGTTGAGGCTAGGCAGTTAGGGAGAGGACATTGAGGCAGAGGGCTCACGGTGGGGGACGAGGGCAGGGAAACAGGAAATAGGAGATTGTGAGAAAAATAGAAAAAGACAGGTTGGAGCCGAGTCTATAAAACTAAGCAATCAAAAGCAGGAAAGCCCCAAATAAAAAGTATGGGTCCTCATTTGGGGGCTATTGCTGGAGTTGCTTACTATAGTTAAGCTAAACAAAGTCCTAGGCACATCATTCTCAACAGGTTTTGCAGTCCATACAACCATTGCGGTTTTAACAGACCACCAATTACACATGTAGTCTGAGATAGTACTCAGAAGTCAGAACATTGGAGTACAATCTCGTTTCTTAGACCATTTACACTGCTGCACCAGGATCGCTGATAACACCCAGAAAGTCATCCTTTATTGTGCCAATGCAAAACTGCAACAGCAGGGATTGGACTGTCAGAACATTGCACAAGTATAACATTGAACTAATGGCAAAGCACGAAGTATGAATTCAAATGCACAATGAAGTTTTGTAATGAAAATATCCCTTTTCTTCAGCTATCTAATATGCTTTTAGCGAGTTCTTGGCACAAGAAGATACAGTGCATACAAAAATCTTCTAGGCTAGTGCTAAACAAGAGTATGAGACTAGAGTATCTAAGGCCTAGTCAGTTCCAAACTAAGATTGACACGAACACCATGTTTTTTTATGTGGCAAAAGAACAGCACAATAAGCATGCCTACATTCATGGCTGATTAATCTGGCATTAATCAAAGTTATTATTTACTAGACATAAGTTCTTTGTTGTTCATACAATCTTAGAAAAGAATATTAGAAAAGTGACTGCAAAATGTTATGTGGATTCACACAATGTTGTCGAAAAAACTGGTGATAAGGTTGCCATCTGCAGGTCTATACTCAAAAGTTTGAAAAAAAGAGCATTCAAAGTTGGATTTTACTGTAAACAATGTAGACAGTAATAAGCTTACGATTTCTGTAGCATCGACACGAGTACCGATAATCTTCAGCCGCACCTCACTCTCCTTTTGAATTTTCACCTGAGTAAACAAACAAGTAACTAACGATGAGCACAGCAAAATGACTACATCAAGAAGCTTTGAAAGGAACAGTTGTGAGCTTGTGACTCACCATGATACACAATACCCACACTACTCCCTCTCCCTCCCCCTCTCCCTCTCCCTCTCCCTCTCCTCTCTCTCTCTCTCTCTCTCTCTCTCTCTCACTAAATATCTCCATAATTATTAATGCAACCACACATTGATGTAACATGCATATTTAGCAAATGGATAAAAAAAAACATAAAAAAAATCCTACTTCAAGATATCACCAAAATCCTCAAGAGTAAACAATTAGCAAAGCATATGAGAAAGCAATAATCCAATGAATATCCATCAGAAATATAGTCTATGCTTACTGCAAACCTGATGAGCTTAAAAGTTGTACTCCCTCCGTTTTTAAATATATGACGTTTTTAGTTCATTTTTTAACAAATTAACTTGTCCTAAATGTCATATTGTATTTCAAAAAGGAAGAAACTTCTGCAGTAGTTACAGATGCTGAGAAGACTCGTCACTACTACTTATACATAGGAAAGAGGCATACCGATCCATCAGATGTTGTGTAGTTTGGCACATCTCCCGATTGGAACTCCATATCGTCTGGAATCAACTGCATTGCAATTGAATAGCGCAGAGGAAAAAAAGCATTACTCAACAAAACAGTATGGACTGACATTAATTTATTGAAGTTTAAACAAGATGTCTATGCTGGTATCCTGTGACAAAAGGAAGCCATGTCTATTTATCAAAGTGATAAAGGACTAAAGGAGCGAGTAAGCAGAGCATAATTCCTAGAATGGTCAGAAACAATTCTGAAACTTCTTTAAGCATTTGACACTTGACTATGAAGCAGCTCCAAGCAAGGCAAAATCACTCACATGGTTGGACACGAAGATCTGCACCGGCCCAGCCTCCGCAAAGAAGCCCATCTGCAGAGTCAATAACACACAAAGTTTAAACACCAAACCAATCCTCGCAATCACAGCCTCCAACACCAAGACCATCACCACCCAGCTAACCAGCACACCAATTCACATTCAATTCGAACGAAGCAAGCACAGCCCGAGTGGGCAGGCAAGTAGGCACCCACCTTGTTCACCATGGTGACGACAGCCTCGAGGATCTCGCCCTTGAAGGGTCTGAAGACGACGCACTGGTACTTGACGGGGAAGGTGACGTATCCCGTGCCTTCCCGGATGAGCCCCTTGCCGATGTCCTCCACACCCGTGATCGCCACCACGAACCCGTGCCGCCCGCTGCAAGGCAAGAACGAGAGAAACCCGCATGTCATCTCAGCGCCGCCCTCTACCTCGTAGCCGTAGCCAGGTTTAGGAGGAGATGGAAACCCTACCTGCAGGTGCCCTCGACGTCCTTGATGAGCTTGGAGACGAGCTTGTCGCGGAGGTGCGGCCCGAAGTGCCGCGGGTGCAGCTGCATGTTCCGCTCCAGCACGATGTGGAAGAACATCTTGCTCCGCTCCCCTCGGCGGCGGCCGGCGGCGAGGCGTGTTGTGAGGCGACCGAGTCTGTTCTGATTATTCTGAATGAGCCAGTGCTGATGCAGTGATGCTTCTCTTCCCCGCGACACCATAATAGACAAAATTGGAAATTTGCCCTCATGCCAGGTGGGTTTCGCTCAAATGCTATCAAGTGGGTTTCGCTGAAGTGTCCTTATGGAACCAGTCCAACACGTTATAATGTTATTTTAAGATTTAAATCCACTTTTAATATTTTTCACCCAAAATTTTAGCCTGAATTGACCATTTTACCCCTGAGCTCATTCACCAAGCGTCTCATGCATGCGATAAAAAATCTCTCCTCTCTCTATCCCCTCACTTCTCTTCCCCCTCCTCCTCTCTCTCGTTCTCTCTCCGTCTCGACGGGTGTCCTCTATCCGCCACCTGAAGGGTGGTGGCGGCCACATCTGGGGACGAGGGTGGGGTGGATCCATGGTTGGGACGAGGTGGGGGTGGATCCACCCCTGGGGGAGGAGCGGCGGGCGACCTCATCTTTGCCCCGGCTGAACGAGCCCTATCTCGTGTCCCGGCGGCTGATCCACCTCG